TTTGAGTATGCTTCACGGTGGAAGGCTCTTGATGAGATGGAAAAGCAACAGCGTGAACAGGTTGACAGGAACATTAGAGAAGCCAAAGAGAAACTAGAGGCAGAAATGGAAGCAGCTAGACATGAGCATCAGCTAATGCTGATGAGGCAAGGTAAAATCAGATAATCTACTAGTATTAAATTTGTTTTGTGACAGATTTTATTTGTATAGCGTATTGAGCTGTATGTTAGAGATTTTGCCAGATGCTATTTAATTAAATGCATTGAACGGAGAAAAAGGAAGTAATATTTCTCTTTACACATATTCTTTGATGATTTGCAGAGGTGGATTAAGAAAATGAGAAAGGGGTGATTGTCTAGGTCTGTTTTCTTCACTTCTTAAATTTGTCTAGTGTAAGTAGTTTATGTAAAGAAATCGAATGGTAGCTTCACACTCATCAGTAACATTATTTTCCATTTTTGGTGTTGCTTATGGTACTGGATAGGACTAAGTACTCTTTGTGGGCAATGCAGGAAAAAATAAAAAAGGATAGCTTGTACTTCTTATGGCTGTTCTGTGCGCTTCTGGTATGATTTTAAATGTTCCAGCAGCTAATGTTACTTTTTTTTTTCCTTTGAAACCCAGATGAGAAGTCTGCTATGTTACATAGTATTATATGTATGTAACAACTCAAAATAACTCACAGTTGCCATGAATTTCAGTCATTCTTGAAATTTTAAGATCGTGTACCCCTCTTGTAATTGTTTGGACATCTTGTCTTCCTGCTAGTGTTGGGGGAAAAAAGTCCTCTAGTGCTATCTTTAGATAGCCCTATCTAAGAATGGAGCTGGGTGGAGCTTGTGTGTCTTGGGCAGAGAGGACAGTAGTAGGGCGAGTATCTGGTACTTTCTGCTTGTTAGCCTTCTCCCCAAAACACATTTTCCCAAAATGCCGTGGACATGCAATTGCTGCTTTCCAGTTCAGAACTATTGAACTATTACTTGATTTTAGTTTCCTCTGCATGACTGCTAAATTGCAAGACTTGAGTGGATCAAGTTTAAATATATTGCAGAGCTGGTGGAAAGGATATCAAGGTTTGTTGCGTGAATGAAACACTGAAGTACTTTTTTTTTTTTTAAGTCTTAATTTAAGGGAGATCACGGCTACGTAAAAAATTCTTATGCTTAAGAGTCTTAGATCTTAAGACAGTACAATAACTAGCATGATAAGCTGAATAAGAGTGCCTTGGCATTTTAAAGGGATCTGAAGTTCTTGAGATTCTAAGTAGTGGATACATTTCTAAACTTAAACCCAGGTAACTCATACAAGCTGTCTGCCGTAATTATTTGGCTTTACTTAATGCTTACTCATAAGAAAGGACGATTTTGTTGGTAGTACAACTTCCCTGTGTGAGACTGGTTAATCTTAATCTTTTCTGCGACCTGAATGACATGTTGAAAATACTTACGTGAGCTGGATTAAAGTATTCACTGGTTTGGTGGAATTAAAGCACCTAAATGCTTGGATATATTGATTATAAACAAATAATATTTTAAAATATGTTTTTAAAACATTTTCATAACTTGAGAAGAGATTAAAAGGAGCATATTTCATTTTTATATGGTGTTCTTAGATTTAATGCAACTGAAAATTGTCATTAGGAAAAAGTTTACTTAGCCTGTTTTTCTAAATGTGTATGCTTGCTTTTAGTGTGAAACCATACTCTTTATTATATAAGAACTTGTTCTGAAATACAGAGCATAATAAAATAAAAAACTGTTCTGAAATGCCAAATAGTTATTGCAGCATGTGAAATGACAGCTGTCAAGTTGTTTCTTGGTTTATTTTCCAAGCAAAAAATGTTAAAGCATTTGGTTTGCAGGTAAGCATAGGTATATCTTACAGATGAGGAATTTGAATGTTGATGTGATATAACAGCAATGCCTATAATACACAGCCCGCTCTTTTCAATTAGACACACATTTTTAATTTTGTGTATATGTGTGACTGATACTGGTAAAGACAGTTCACTGCTGAAAATACAGGTTGGATAAATTTGCCACTGACTTAACTAATTATTGGCATTTGATGGTGCTAATGATCCAGTTCTAGAACTTCCACTCTTTAATTTTTTTAGGGTTTATCCCCCCTGTTGCCTGTACTTGACGGCAAGGTTAGAGATTACTTTTTTCTGAAATTATCATGCCTTAATCATGTTTTAAACTGAGACAAAATGACAGTGGCCTGTCTATTAAGATAGAAAAGGTCTTGATGGTAAAACAGGGGAGAATGCTTGGGTATGTTTTGGATATTAGGGTTTCTTTTAAGGATGCTGTGAAGGAAAAAATATTGCTTTTTTTTGAATATCTATTAAGCTGCACTTTTATATCAAAAAGGAAGAGAATTACTCCTGCCATTAAAGAGCCACTAGAATATGGATGCTTTTGGTGTTAATATTCCAGTGAGGATACATGCTTTTTGTTATTCTGGGCTGAGGGGTTTTTTCCTTCCCTATTTGGTTAACAGACTACTTCTCTTTGGTACCAAATAACTTGCAATTTTTTCAGATAATTAGATTTCTGCTTATTCACCTGCAGATGTTTAATTTGCTAAGCTCTAGGGGTTAGTAAACATTCCTTCTGTTTTAATCTTGTTGACTCTCCAGCTTCAGCATGTGTGAATATAAGGTATTTTTTTCACTTGTATTTGTTTTCAGACATTAGCTGCTTCTAAATCTTGCTGGTCAGAACAGTGTCTCTGTGTGTAAGTTTAGACCATGCCAAGAACATTAATTATGTTAATGAGGTTGCATCACAGGGTTTAGAATTAATATTTTTGTATACCTGATGCACAAACCACAGATTTACAGATATATTGAAGTAGTTATTCTGAAATACGAAATGCAATATATTAATTGTCACGAGCTGAAAGGAAGATGGGAACGGTCAGCTTACTAGAGTCCATGTACTCCTGCATGTGAAGATTTTATAGAAATTGCTTTGTGAGAGCCAGTAGGACTTGAACTAGAACATGTGGGCTTAAGTACTCGGGCTTTTGTGGTGTGGTATTAATACTGAAGGTAGACTTCATTCTTTTGATACATGTAATTTTTCACTTTTAAGTGTCATGTTTTGACAGATTGAGTCAGAAGTAATTTGTAAAGCAGAATACGTGTTTCTATGTGTAAGTAAATTGGCATGATGTTTCTGATCTACATATTGGTGGTACGCTTCAGATTTTTGTAAATATTCTCTCATAATGGTGGTTAAATAGTTTATGAACATACTGGAAAATGTGACTGAATTTAACCAGAAGCTTCATTCTATATCAGTTGTATGGAAGATGGGCATTTGTTTTCCATTTTTAGAACCTGAAAAATCAGCAGCTAAAACAAAAATCTTTTTTGACATGGTATTCCTGCTTGTAGGATTAACTTCTGAGGTGAGAGTACACTTCTACCTTTTGCCCTCTGGTCTGCAGAAGGTTGAGAATAAAATGAAGACCTTGCCCTTTTTTAAGCACAAGAAAGTGCTGAAGCTAATAATAATGCTTTCTGTCTTTTTATTTCACAGCTACTTTAGCGCAGTTTTCTACTCAGAGAAGGGGCCTGTGTTCAACATATGTCAGTCCAGAATTACCATCATTACAGATCTTTTAATATGAATGGCTCTGTGCACAGTGCAAACCTGTACATCTGTATTTCATCTGGCTAGTAAGGCTTTGTGCCAAGGTTCTGCCTTTGTCAAATGGTACTGGATCATAAATTGATGTGTTGAACTTTAAAATACTAACACTTTCAGGAAAGGCAATAATCAGAATTATGCTGTCGAAAAAAGAATTAGGAGGACACTGGGAAAAGTAGGACTCTAGACCTTAAGAATAAAGGAGAATAAATGATAAATTTGTAGGAATTAGCAGTAGAGAGAAAGCAGGAAATCCTGTTCCAGTGTATTAACAAAAGAAAAAGGGGTTGCTACATAAAGGAAACATCTGAAAAGGAAACATCTTTTCCCACAGTGTATGATATTGAGCATAGAATGGGTCAGTTCTTGATCTCGGTAGTACCCTGAAACAACCTGAAGTTTAATTTTAGAAGAAAAAAGTGCACTTCTCTCAAATAATCTAAAGGTTATTTAAAAAAAAAAAAAGTGTGCTTGTGGTGCTCCCTGAGTATCAGGATAACAGTGGCCAAGCCTTCTATGGCAAGCACAGTTGGAAAGAAGCAGCCCTCAGACGTCGTTATTTGAGTGAATCTTCAACAGACTCACGTTCTATTGAAGTGTGAAATGTGTTAATTTTGTAGAAGGGATTGGAAAAGCAAGCCTGCAAAATGTGCGTGAGAAAGGACTTCTGATATCAGTAAGGGTGCCATAAGAGTGAAAATCTGATGATCTTTGTTAGAAAAGAAAACAAACTGTATTTTGGTGAAATGTATTAGTCATTGTAGTTGGTTTTGGATGTTAAAGTAAAAGGTTAAGTTGTAATAATATATGCTGATGTAAGTTTGAGGAAAGTGATTTGCATAGCTGAAAATATTGAATTAATATAGTGAAGAAATGCATAGAGAAATGTACGGAATAGTTGAACTGACACATAAAAGGCATATAATAGGTGGTATAGTGGAATGTTCCTTGTGGTGTCTATAAATAATGTCATGTGGCCAATATCCTAAGAAGACAGAAAAGGCAAACAGCTGCTTTCTAACAAAAGGTAGAATTAATATTCATTGAAGAAAGCATAAATTTCTAGGCAGAAATCAATAATGTGACTGGTCAGAAACTAGGACAGCAAAAATAATTACTATTAGTTGTGCTCTGCTTTTTAAGAGCATTTAAAGTGCTTTTTAAGAGGATACAGCCATTCCTTTCTGTTAGTGTTTAAAGATTAGTGATTTGTCTATAAGCAGAGTCTTGTGATAAATCTCTGTGGAGGCTCGGATTACATGCACCTGAAGTTTGTACCACTTTTTTCTGATGTGTGACATGCAGTGGTCTGCAATAGGTAGTGGAGAGTATGAGCCCATATGTATTGTACTAGTTTTCTTGCTAGTGTGACTTTATCAGTACATGGCATTGTGAGAAAATTGATGCCTTGCCCTAGATGTAAAACTGGGATATGATTTAGGGATTGAGAGTTTTTTCTCCTTTTCTTTGTTTGAGGACTTCAGATTTCTGTTTCCATAACCTGCTCCGAAGGCTTTGCCAGTCCTGTACCTTTTTGTGTTTCTGTGAGCTGTGGATCCAATGTGTTTTTTCATATACTAGACTTAGGTTTATGGGAAGAAACTAGTTAAATGCACTGAGAAATGTCTTTTAAAATAAAATGTTAGAACTAATTTGACAGTAATAGCAATTTTTTGTGTTGCCACATTTTTGATTGGCAGCTTTTATCTTTATTACATTTTTACTCCTGTTAGATCTCATGCGACGTCAAGAGGAATTGAGACGTTTGGAAGAACTTCGAAATCAAGAACTTCAAAAACGCAAGCAGATACAATTGAGGTATTTTGTCTTCTTCTGTGCAAAGGTGTGGCATGCAGCTGCTGTAGGTGTGCATGAATTTAGATACTGTACAGCTTGTAGAGCTTGCTTTTGATATAAAAAAAGTTTCTGCTGCTAAAAAGTTGCTTTTCAAAAACATAATGCGTGATGTTTCTGTTAATGTTTTTGAACAGAAAGTTGATCACTTATGCCATTATAAAAGAATGGTTTCAAGTGTTTCTTGATTTTTTTTTTTCATTTATTTCAGCTCTGCTAGTTGTAAATTTCAGAGCTTTCTAAATAGTGTAGAAATTTTTAACAATTTTTTTTGTTTCATATTATTTATTTTAACCTTGTGACTGAAGCATAGCTGTAATAGAGCTGTAATATATCTGAACATGCTTTTAAGATTTATGGGCAGGTGCTCTACATGCAGAATAGTAGCATTGCAAATTTATAGTCTGACATGAGATTTTTGCGGATATTTACTCTTGATATCATAGTGTGTTACAAACAATTTTTCCTTTAAGATCTGTTTCATACAAATACTTGGTTTTGTGTTTCTGCTAAAATTTAAGAAAATAGACATAGTATCATCATGTTGATTGAGTTTATACTTTTTATGTTAAATATCACAAGAAATGTAGATGAGGAGAAAGAAGAAAACAGCTTGCAGAGTTTAAAATGTGTCTTTTGGGAGTAGTGAAATGTTTTGATCCATAGTGACTTGTTTAAAACTGGAGTATTTGAACCTGCTTACCAATATGTAGACGGAAGAGCAGGTAGAGAGTGTACTGGTATTACAATTACCTGTATTTCATTTAAAAATAAATAAATACTTCAATAATATTCAAACCCATCAGGTGGAGTACATTAGTGCCTTATGCTGTGTAAAAAAACCCAACCAAATAATGACCAGTTAAGTTTATATGCTTGATCTTATCTCCTGAGCCTGAGTACAAGCTTGAACAGGTCAAGAGTCTTAAGTTGACATAGTTTTTGAAAAATATTCTAGACATGAAGAAGAACATCGACGTCGTGAAGAAGAGATGCTACGCCAGAGGGAGCAGGAAGAATTACGACGACAGCAGGAAGGAGGATTTAAGCCAAATTTCATGGACAATGTAAGTAAAATTCTATGGCAGAAGTCCAAATTGTAAAAGATTTTTTATTGTCATATTTTTATATGCTAAATATTGAGCTGCCGCCTTCTTGTTTACTGTTTTTCTTTCAGTATTCTGTCATTCTCCTGAATGGAGTGGTACATATTTAGTAGTGTAGTTATTCTCTTGTGTGATGGCATCACTGTTGTTTTTCCTACAAGCTGGTGATGTAACACTTAAGTGAAGGTGTTCAGATAATAATTTGACTTTTTTATTCAGGAAATTAATTTTTGCAATAAAATAATAGAATTTTTTTAAGTGGGGGGTCATGGAAATAAACGATGTTTCCATGAGGAAGTGCCCTAGTTTGACTGAAGGTTTAAGTTTCAAACCAGTTCAGGCTGTTAAGCTTGTTTGAATTTCTTTTGGTTTATGCTTAACGTATTAAAAATAACATACTTCAGAAACAAAATGGGCAGTGTCAACTTCATACAGAGCCTAAAATCACTCTCCCCTTTGACTCAACTGTAAAACCAGATGAGGAAAACCTCAAAATCTTCACTAAAGGAGACCGAAAGATTATAAAGGTGGGGAAAAAAATTGTTCTCTGCTATAATTTCTACATTATTTATATTAGTAATTTAGGTTTGTTCTGCCTCTGAAGATTATCCTGCAGGACTAGCAAAATGGTGGTATCAGAGGAGTCATCTTCTAAATTTTCATGATGATCTATTTTGGTCAAGGGTATGTTTTTTTTTTTTCTACCAACCAAAGCAGTTAAATGAACACAACCTGTATTGTGAATGCTTCAGTTTCATGTGAGAAGGATACATTTTACTGTTACAGCTATTCTTAGTGAGGAAGCAATGAATAAGTGATTCACACAATGCTCTCTCACATTATAACAACTGTAGTCTGCAGGAGGGAATTTTGCTCCCCTCCACAGGTACAGCTTGATACATAAATCAAAAATAAACTGCTGGTTTCTTAGCTACTTTTTGATTTTGTGTTTTGTGGAAGAAATACCTATTTTACATTCTATACCATAATATTTTCTGTAGTGTTGAGAAGAATATATTATATATGTTCTGAGACATCCTAAACACAATCATAGAAGTTAGAAAATACAAGATTTCCTGTTCTCAGCAGGACATCTTTTTCCCCCCCCATCCTCTGGCCCTTAGTGTTTTTAGTAAAGATGGGGAGGAAGCAAAGTTGTTCCTTTGTTACTAACAGCTATCAATTGATTTTGCTGATTGTATTTTGAGAAGTGTGCAGCAGAAATCAATCATTTATTTCCATATGTACTCACACTGTAAAAGAAAATTGCTTTCAGCATGTCTTTTCTTTGGGGTAATGAAGATCAAGAATTCAAAACTTGTAACATCCTTTAGTGTGTTCCCACATATTATTAAACATACTTTGTGAAATAGCATATAACAATGTCTGATGTAATTTAGAAATAGCACTTACTGATTGTGACTTCTGTAGTGTCAAATATGAAATTTCATTTCATCTTAATATTTTCACGTAGCATCTTCTGGTGCGGCCTGACTTTCTGACCCTATAAGCTACCTGTCAAAATCTTCCTGTGGCTGATCTGTGAGATGCATGCTACTTGCTGCAGAGAGCTGCAGGAAGGGGAAGCTAGGGAGCCAGCCCACAGGCTTGAGATGGCAGTAGCTCCCTCAGATTCCATTGCTGTTAGGAAATTGTGGCCTGTATCCTGCAGCTTGGGGTGCTGGGGAAAACTAGGTAATGGTCACCACAGCAACATCTACTGGTTTTCTTCTTGCAGCTGTCTTGATGTCATGTTACTTAGCCTCTGTGCTTGAATTGCTTGCCACAGTTTGGCCATCCTTGTGCTTATCTGCATCTTGAAATTCGGAACTTTGTGTGAATAGAAACTGTTCAAGTTAGTGTGCTGGACATGGCAAAAATGTAGTGTAAGAAGGGAAGAGGAATGGTTCAAATGGAAAGCACTTCAATCACTATGCATAATTTTTGCGACTTTTATACGATGAAATTTTTTCAGGGGAAAGGTAAAGGTGGAGGAATGTTTTGGAAGAGTGTAGCTTTCCCACTGAGTTGCATTTCTGGAATTGTGTGCTTATCTGGAAGTAATTAATACACTGCAAAAATGTATAGATGTAGCTGTGCAGTGACAACCCTACCAAAAGTGTTATAAGTTATGTAAAGTAATACATAGTGGTGGTGGGTTTTTTTAATGTCATGTGAAGTTGAAGTGGCAATATACAATAGTTTAAAAAAAAATTGTTTTCTCTAGTCTTCCAACTAGTTTTTAGTAATCTGGTCATGTGTTGACTTACATTTTACTTCTAATATCCTTTGGACTTCAAAAGAGGAAGAATTGAAACAATTGGGAGTGATGTATTTATTTACTTTCTTTAGCAACTGTTTCTAATAAGGGCAGTTGCGTAGCTCGACACGTGGCCTGTCATTTTATAGGTGTTCATTATCACGTCTTTAGATAACCATACTTAAGTTGTATAGTGTGAATGGGAATTGAAAAAGCCTTTGCATTTTGCAGCAGAGAATTGTAAACCATTTCTGGAGATTGCAAAATGATACATGAGATCTCTTTTCGATTTAGTAGAATTTCTTATACAATTAAATTTTTTTATTTATTCTTACTAATACTTGTTCACGGTGAACAGACTCCATCTGGTAATTACTTTGAGTCCGAGATTACCATTGTACATACACTGGAAAAAGTTATTCTATGTTTTAAGAGTTTAAAAGTTGCCTCTTGGTGAAAATTGCATTTTATGATACTGGTGGATAGTTTCTGCCGTATCAGGTCTTGATATACTCTTGGCATAATCCTTATAACATGTTAAAGTCTTCTGCCAACTTGGTATTTAGAAGGAAAATAATAATTGTTTCTAATCCTTGTTTTTGTTTCTTAAAAGCTTTGAAAAGTAAGCTTCCTTCACTTATATCCTATCCCTTTTTACTGTTCAGTGTAAAAGAAGGACATAAATGGTAAGTGAAATGACAACCAGAATTGGAACCTCTCATATAAGGCTGCAGTTTTAGGCTTTCCTATTTAAAATTTCTTTCTGTCTTTTCCCAACTTGTTAAACTTTGATTTTTCAATATAACTACTTTTGAAAAATGTCTTGTAATCAAGTTTTATGCAGTTCTCAGTTACCCAGCTTAGTTACAGATGATAAAAATATTTTCTGTGTGGGAATTGCTCTTTCTGAAGCATTCCTGTTCATGGTGATGTTGTACATTAAAAATTTGATTGCATTGATTTGTTAATCTAATGGGCAGCCTAGTCATGCCTAAACAATTTATTAATCTAGTGTCATTTCTAGTTGATAAGTTATTGATAAACACTTGTATTGATTAGGGTTTTTCCCTTGCTTTGTAATAGTTGGTTTGTTGAAATCTGCTGTTACAGCTGTGCATTCTAATTTCGTGATAGCTTAATCAGGAAAATTGTTTTCCTGTAATATCTTGCTGATTTTTATTTTGCATACGTATTTCTTGCTGAAAGAGGAGCTTGCTGATGGTGATTGGAGGCAATATTTTATTTTTCAGCAGCACAAATATTTTTTAAAAAATATATTACTTCTAGTGGTAGTAATACGTTAATTATTCAAACTATGCAATGGTTACTATCCAATTGTGAATCGCTTACATAGATTTACATTGTTAAATCTCAGTCAGAGCCTTTTTACCAAATAATTCCAGTCTCAGGAAATACTGTTATTCATGTCACCAAGTTAAAAGACTGAAAAGGGAATTATTTGGATTTAGTGTATTAAAATAGTTTTGACGTGTCTACAAAAGAGACCAAAATATGTGGGACTTGCAGTCTTAGTTTTCTGGTGTGCAGATTTAATTCTGTAGTAACACTGCAAAATAGTGTCAGGTGGGTATTGTACTTAATGAAACAATGGCTGTGATGCTGGCCTACAGCTTACAACTGTTCCTACTAATAGTTTAAAGAGGGAGTTGAGACTTTTGGATGTCTTTGTCCTCTTCCCTTGAAGGAAACTCCCTTTTTCAAGTGTAACTTGCATATGCAAGGAACTGTTTCTTGTGAGTTTATCAGTTTCAACTTCTGAATGCTTACTGGTTCTTTCATGTAAGACTTTGTATATTAAATACTTAACTTTTTTTATCTCCTAGTCTTTTCAAGAATTACTTCTGTATGTTGTTTTGCTTTCCTCTAATTTTTCATGCACGGAAGTACTGCTGCTCAAGTATGTTGTGTAAGTATCAGCATAAAGTGGCATTTACTGGAGCAGTGGAGATTGCCTCAACAGCAGAGGTTGTAGTGGACTTGGATCAAAAGCTGTAAGACAGATGAGAGCAAGGGAGTGAAAAAGCACATCCCAAAATGACAAAAAAGTTCAGTTCTTTGGAGCGGTTTATAAAGGTAGCTTCCCATTTCTTTATTATTTTGAGCCCGCTGAGGTAAATCTTATCCCTCACTTCTACACTCAGTTGCAAGTTAAGTAGTAGACATTTTTGAAACAAGACTATCAGTTAGATTTCCTTGGACTCCCGTAATTTAGGAATAGTTTTTTGCACTTCTTGACTCTTAAGTGAATAGAATGGCATTTTTTTTCCTGTCTTCTGATTCTGTTATGCTCAAAAGCCCCAGTTACATAAGAAGTTTGAATTTTCACTGAATGCAGAATTGTTTCCTATTGTTTTCAATAATAAATAAATTAATAAAATTTTCTTAGGGTCTTTTGAAATTTGATTTGTTTTCTCCGAATAATAAACTTTGGTTATTTTATCTTGACAGCCTAGTGCACTTAATGAAGCTGATGGGGATGAAGTTTTGTGAGGTTGTATGAATAAAGTCTCTGTTTCTTAACAAACTGCTATAAAGCTAAGCTGTTTTATAAAAGCTCTTTGTAGGGCTTGGTTGGGAGAGATGAATTGCCTCCTTATTGCAATCCAGCATACATGTTAGTGGAAGAAGTAGTTCATGTTTGACACTTTAAAAGCCTTTTAAGGTAAAACTAGCTTGGAGA